AGACAGAGTCTTGCTCTGTCACTCAGGCTGGAGTGAGCCAAGATCACTTGTCATCACTCCAAGATCATAGCCCACTGCAGCCTAAACTCCTGGGCTCAAGCAATCCTCCCACCTCAGCCTCTCAAATAGCTGGGTCTACAGGCAAATGCCATAGTGCCTGGTTAATTTTTTTATTTTAATTTTTATTTATTTATTTATTTTGAGACTGAGTCTCCCTCTGTCATCCAGGCCGGAGTGCAGTGGTGCGATCTCAGCTCACTGCAACCTCTGCCTCCCAGGCTCAAGCGATTCTCCTGCCTCGGCCTCCCACATAGCTGGGATTACAGGCACCTACCACCACGCCTGGCTCATTTTTGCATGTTTAGTAGAAATGGGGTTTCACCATGTTGGTCAGGCTGGTCTTGAAATCCTGACGTCAGGTGATCCGCCCACTTCAGCCTCCCAAAGTGTTGGGATTGCAGGTGTGAGCCACTGTACCTGGCTGCTATAACTTTTTTTTCTTTATAGAGACAGGGTCTCCCTGTGTTGCCCAGGCTAACTCCTGGGTTCAAGTGATCCTCCCACCTTGGCATCCCAAATTGCTGGGATTAAAGACAGGAGCCACTGCACCCAGCCATAACTATTTTGAGTGTGGATGAATCTTAAGGTTTTAAAGGGGCCTTGCTAAGAAATTGCAGCAATCAGCCTGGCACAGTGGCCTACGCTTGTAATCTCAGCACTTTGGGAGGCCAAGGAGGGCAGATTGCTTGAATCCAGGAGTTTGAGACCACCCTGGGCAACATGGCAAAACCCCATCTCTACAAAAAATTTTTAGAAATTTACCAGGTGTGGTGGTGCACACCTGTGGTCCAGCTATTTGGAAGGCTGAGGTGGGAGGATCACCTGAGCCCAGGAGGCAGAGGTTGCAGTGAGCCGAGATCATGCCACTGCACTCTAGTCTTGGTGACAGAGTGAGATGAGACCCTGTCTCAAAAAAGAAAAATCAGTCTGTGACTTGGCTAACAGTTTGTGGATAACTTAGTTCAAAGGTATGGGAAAGGGCTTCAGATATGTTGCTTCCTGGCCCAGCACAGTAAGGATCATTTATGTACCTTCACTTACAAGATCTTGCCCTGTCACTGAAAAACTTCCAGATACAGCTAGCTATATACAACTCTCTCAAAGAACAGCAGCTAAGAGCATTTGATAAATGCTTAGAAAAACTCAGCTTACATTTTCTTTTCAGCCAGCTGGAGCCTATTGGCTTTTGAAATTAACAGGAAGGAACAGGCATTGGAAGGAACTTCATAAACCATCAACCCTGTCTTATCTCCATAGCAACGTGGTTTTCTCACATCTGAATAAAAAAAACAAAAAAGCTGCCAACTTCTCGACAGTAAATATGGGACAGATCAAATTCCACTAAAACTGTCAATGTCTAGCTATCAGTCTTCTTTTTTTTGGCGGCTTACCTGAGGTCAGGAGTTCAAGACCAGCCTGGCCAACATGGTGAAACCCACTATCAGTCTTGAATCAGCTTTTGGGTCTATAGCTAGAGACAGATCATCTGTTCGGACTAGGGCTTAACTGGACAAGCTAAAGCTCTGGAGGCCAAATTCCTTGTGGGCTTCAAACAGAAATATAGCCAGGTCACTAAAGAGGGAAAAGTGATAGAAAAGATATGAATTAAACCAGGTGTGGTGGCTCATACCTGTAATCCCCACACCTTGGGAGGATCGCTTGAGCCCAGCCTGGGAAACACAGGGAGGCTCCAGCTCTACAAAAAATTCAAAAGTTCACTGGCCATGGTGGCACACACTTGTGGTCCCAGTTACTTTGGAAGCTAAGGTGACAGGATCACTTGGGCCCAGGAGGTCGAAGCTGCAGTGGGCTGTGATCGCACACTGTACTCTAGCCTGGGCAACAGGTGACCTTGTCTCAAAAAAAAAAAAAAAAAGTTAGAAAAAAGATAGAATTATGGGACCATTTTCAGCTGTTTATGTAAGAACAAATATAAATTACCCCAATTGCAATCTCCTGTTTATTCCATAGTACCTCATCCTTTTTTGCAGACAGCAGGGAAAAAACTGCTACAATAAATAGTCAAAATTGTCAGGCGTGGTGGCTCATACCTGTAATCCCAGTACTTTGGGAGGCTGAGGCAGGCAGATCACCTGAGGTTGGGAGTTCGAGACCAGCCTGACCAACATGGAGAAAGCCCATCTCTACTAAAAATACAAAATTAGCTGGGTGTGATGGCACATGCCTGCAATCCCAGCTACCTGGGAGGCTGAGGCAGGAGAATTGCTTGAATCTGGGAGGTGGAGGTTGCGGTGAGCCAAGATTGCACCATTGCACTCCAGCCTGGGCAACGAGTGAAACTCCATCACACACACACACAGTCAAAATTTTACACCTCTACCCTGAAACCCTTCAAGTCCTAAAGTAGCACAACTTCACTAGGATTCTTAAAGCTACACATTCTGAAGAATAATAAACTTCCAAAGAGGTTACTGACCTAAGGCTCTTACGATGGGAGTTACCACCCATCAACTACAATCTATTGCCCTCTTCTGTGTAGCAGTCGCGTGGCTGCTGAGAAATCCCAATGGCATCTTAGAGATCCATGGGAACGGTGGGTGTGGGTTGTTTCAGCCTGTCATATTTCCTGTCTTCCTAAAAGTCTGCCCTATTTGCTTTTCTAAAACTGTAGTCCTCTAAAATTGATAGCAGGAAACCTTTGATGGCTATGCATCCCCAGCTTAATTGGGTCTTTTCAGGTAAAGGCATCAATTCACACTTGTTCCTGAACACAGCAAAGCAAAGCACAGCACGCCGATAATATAAATTCCTGCCAAGACTTTATTAGAAGAGAGAGCATGAAGACTGCTGCTCAAAAACATTTACTTTCCCTTTTAAGGCCCCCTTCTTTCTAGGCAGGGGAGGGGGCTAGCCAAGGGTCCTTGAATCCATTTCATTATCCCTACTTTGAGTTGATTTCCATTTTATAGCCATAGAAAGCTTAAAGTACTACTACACATCCATCACCACCACCCAAGCCCAAAGGCCCAAAACATTCTGTAGCAGTGTCTTAACAAATATCCTTAAACACTCATTTTTTTCAGATTAGGATTAAGATTTAAATGTTTCTCTGCCATGCATTGCATTTCTCAACATGCATAACAGTTGCAGGATGGGTGAGAATGTGACTAAGAATACTGAAGTACCCCACAGAAACTTCTGTAAGGACGGACTCATCCCAACCAACCTGGAGATCTCATCAAGTGACCATCTTCAACACTATGTTATTTGAAAAAATTGTAATTCACACACATACACATCTGCAATATTTATTTTTTAAAGGAATGGATTTTGAGAGAAAACAACGTGGCGCAGAAATGTGGAATAGAAAATAAATACAAATGTAGGCTATTTTGCTAATTGTTTTATAACCACAACAAACTAGTACAGAGAATGCCCTGTACAAAAAAACAAAGGTTCAAACATCAAGGTGTTCCCTTAGCAAGGCTGAAAATTTCAGTCTCTGGTATTTGGAATTTAGGCTGCAGTCCTTGTTTTTGGATGGATCAACTGGGTGTGTGGCACAACAGTCCATGCTTTTTTTTTTTTTTTAAATGAGATGGAGTCTCACTCTGTTGCCCAGGTTGGAGTACAATGGCTTGATCTCAGCTCAATGCAACCTCCACCTCCCAGGTTCAAGTGATTCTCCTGCCTCAGCCTCCCGAGTAGCTGGGATTACAGGTGTGCACCACCACACCCGGCTAATTTTTGTATTTTTAGTAGAGATGGGGTTTCACCATGTTAGCCAGGCTGGTCTTGACTCCTGACCTCAGGTGATCCACCCACCTCGGCCTCCCAAAGTGCTGGGATTACAGGCGTGAGCCACCACGCCCGGCCTTTTCAGTCCATGCTTTTAACCAGATTTGAACAGAAGAATGGCCACTTGGCCCAGGTAGAAGTAGATGAAGTGTTTGGTTTCATGTGTCACGTAACTACCGAAGTTCCTCCCCACAATGCAATGCCAGGTAGGATTGTACTTCTTATCAAATTCCTGGGGAAAAAAAAAGAAAAAAAGTAGAATTTTAATTACCAGAGGTGTTTGAATTTTAATTACCTCCCGGATAAGCCAGAGCCTGCAGGGGCAGAAAGGAAGAACGTTAGCATCTGCAAATTCTTCTAATGAAAGAATGTTCCCCAGCTCCAAGTCGCCTACATAGTGCATTAATACAAACATACTTGCAGTCTGAGCTAAGATGGGAATGGAGGCTGAGGAGGTCAGAGGAAGAAAGGTCAGCCTTAAAGACAGGATGCTTTGTTACTCTGGTAATTACACCTTCATACCTTCTATAGTATTCTCACTCATTAACAGAAGGTGACATCAACAGGTGTAGTTTATCATGTTCCGTGTAAAGAACTAAACTACCCTACTGTGTTTGCCATGCCCCCCCCAATCCAAGAAAATGGTTTAAAAAAAAAAAAAAATTAGCCCTTCCAATTCCTCATCACAAAGATCTTAACTGCACCCCTGCAACACTCAAACAAGACTTCCAAAAGGATAAAACTTCAAACAGCATTGTATACCGAATGATTGCTGATCAAAATTAAATTTTCAGGGACACGATACTTAAGCCCCCACCATTGCTGTAAACAGAATCCGACAGTTAACTGGCTCAATTTTATCCTTAATTATTACCCAAACAGCCGTCCTCTCCACATCTATCCGGATGATGCTAACCTACTGCACTGTCCACTAGGTTAGCAAGTTGTAGGAACAACTCTTTACCAACTCCCCCACCCTAAGAGGTACTGGGAGTAGAATGCCTGTTGGGGGCAGAGGGCGGCAATGGTAATCTTTCCCTACAAAATTCTTACAAGTGTTTGCGGAGAGTCACACAAGATTTAGCTACTCTAACTGCACGCAGTGCGAAAACCTCTTTTAAAGCTATGAAGAGGAGTAACGCTCTTGCAAGCTAGACGCACGCACTGCTGCGTTTGTCAAAAAAAGCATTTATTTCTGTTCCATCTAGTCTTTCATCTTTCCATTCTCGACTGGAACCCTCCCACGGCTTAGGCTGCCAGCTTTCTTCCCTTCCAGCAAACATTGCTAGAGAAGTTGGCAGTCCTGCCAGCTTTCTACAGACTGCCATTTACCAAGCCCCCACCCCAGTCCCCAGTCCCCAGTCCCGCCACCACCCACTTTCCCTCAACTGCCGACTAACTCCCCACTGGAAGGCTGGCAAGATCTCCTCCCGGCCCGGCTGGAAACACCCACGCAGCTCCCCCCTCCGGAACACCCAGATGGATCCTCGGCGCAGGAATCACACAGAAGGGGGAACCGCTGCTCCCTGATCTTAGATACCGTTGCTAGGTGGCGCTTCCCCCCGCCGAGCTGGGTAATTAAAAAAAAAAAAAAAAAAAAAACTTCGGACGCCGAGGGTCTGGTCTTCTCCAGAGGAGCGCAAAATGCATCTGAGTCCTTTCTGGAAGCTTCTACGCCCCGAGACGCCCGGGGTGCTCCCGGGACCTGTCAGGCGCCCTAGGAACGCAGGATCGGGGAAAGGGAAGGAACCCCAGGCTCCCGGCTGCGCCTCGGCCCCCGCGCCCGTCCTCACCTTCTTGATATGAGCCGCAATGTCCTTCTCTATGTTGTATTTCTCCAGCGCCTGAGTAGCGCACTCCACCGAGTCCTGTTGCATCTCTTCCGACATGTCCGCATTTTTGATCACGGCCTTTCGGTCGCACATGGTTACCTAGTGGGCAAGGCCCCGGGTAAGGGGTGGAGGAGTTGGGCCGCGCCCCCCAGGCACTAGCTGCACAACCCCCCCGTCCCCGGCCCGCGCCACCACAGGACGACGCCCCCCACCCTACTTCTCAGGAAGCGCGGGCTACGCGGCGGGCTAAGTCCGGAGGGGGCGAAATGAGGCAGCGAAGACACCCCCTGGCCTCCAGAGTTTCTCACCGTGGAGAAGGGGGCTGGCTGACAGCAACAGTCTCCTGGAGGAGGTGCTAGCACTGCTCAGTCACAGATTGAGCTGCTGTCGCTACCGAAGCCGTGGCGCATCTAAGCCGCCCCACGCCAGTCGCCGCCGCCTAGTGCTCAGGCCCCGCCCTGCTCCCGCCGACCCCGCCCCTCGCCGCGCGTCCCTATTGGCTTGACGCAGTCCACGGCATTCTTCCATTGGTCCATGGACTCCATGGTTCCCTCAGGATCTTTCTCCTGCATTTTGTTGCAGACCACAATGCACCTCTCACGGCGTCGGTTGCCCAGGCAATAGGCCCCACGCGGCGAGGCCCACACACCCAGAAGGTGGAGCCCCGGCCGGGTTGCGAGGACCACCCAGCTGTCTGGAGAGGTAGGAAGGGAGCTTCTGCCGGGACCAAGGGAAGTGATCCCAAATTCACGGAGGTTGTCCCAGGGTGTGCTCTCGAACGAAAGTCTCTAGAAGTTGGTGGCTACCACTGCCCCACCCCCACACGTCAGGTCGCAGGATCTCCCACTCTAGGTCAGCAGGATTATGACAAAGGTGGCCTCTCCCTTTACGGAAAGGGTATGTGTGAAGCAGGGCCGGCTTCATGGGCAAACCAGCAGGGCAGTCGCGCAGGAGGGGCCCTTACGCTTTCATTTTGCATTGGGTCCCATTTGTAGTCGGTACCGCTCTGAAATACTTGGGAGAGAACATCCTCAGGATTGAGTGAGGGCTTCAAGGAGGGAGGATGTTTCCTTAAGAATTAAGGGATTATCCCCAAGAGTGGGGTCTCAGCCAAGCAATGCAGAAATCCTTTAAGGGGGTGGGGATGGGGATCCGGGTGGATTTGGGAGTGTTGAGCCCCGCGGTTTTTGTCCAGGGTAAGGCTTGTTGCTCAGGTGAGGCAGAGATTCTTGGTTGGGTTTTCTCTCAGAGGAGGAGGTATTCTAACGGACGAAAAAGCGACTATTAAAGAGATGATGTCCCCTCTACCTTAGGGAGGAGACACGAATTGGTTAAAAAAGCAAGATCTTGGGGGAGTTGAGGGACAAGTCAGATCTGGATTTAAATTCCAGCACTGTCATTTACTAGCTATTTGAACACGTCGTCTTTATTTAATTAAAGGGGGACTAAGTGTAAAAGGAAACCACTTCATATGCATGTTAGGAGTGTTAAACATTTGAAGTTCTCAGCACGATGTGTGGCACATAGTAAATGATCAGTGAATCTTATCAATAATAATTGTCAGTTTATAGAACTATTCCAAAGGCCACAGCAAGGTTTTGAACAACCAACTCTGAAATGCCTATAATTATTTTTGAACCTGCATAAATAAGTTATCAGGTTAATCATGTAACTGGAAGCTTCCTATTTACATTTCTGCATTTTCCTCTTGACACCCTACTCTCATTACCCCTTTAAACAATTTGTGGCTGGGCATGGTGGCTCACACTTGTAATCTAAGCACTTTGGGAAGCTGAGTCGAGGGGATCGCTTGAGCTCAGGAGTTGGAGACCAGCCTGGGCAACATGGCTAAACCCCATCTCAAAAAATAAAAATAAAACTATTTGAGCGGAGGTACACAACTCCAGAAAGAAGAAGATGGGAATAGGCCAGGCACGGTGGCTCACACCGGTAACTCCAGCACTTTAGGAGGCTGAGGTGGGCGTATCTTGAGGTGAGGAGTTCAAGACCATCCTGGCCAGTGAAACCCCGTGTCTACTAAAAATACAAAAAATTAGCTGGGCACAGTGGTGCATGCCTGTAACCTCAGCTACTCAGGAGGCTGAGGCAGGAGAACTGCTTGAACCCAGGAGGTGGAGGTTCCAAGATCATGCCAGTGCACTCCAGCGTGGGCGAAAGAGTAAGGCTCTGTCTCAAAAAAGAAAAAAGAGGGCCGGGCGCGGTGGCTCAAGCCTGTAATCCCAGCACTGTGGGAGGCGGAGGCGGGTGGATCACAAGGTCAAGAGATCGAGACCATCCTGGTCATCATGGTGAAACCCCGTCTCTACTAAAAATACAAAAAATTAGCTGGGCATGGTGGCGCGTGCCTGTAATCCCAGCGACTCAGGAGGCTGAGGCAGGAGAATTGCCTGAACCCGGGAGGCGGAGGTTGCGGTGAGCCGAGATCGCGCCATTGCACTCCAGCCTGGGTAACAAGAGCGAAACTCCGTCTTAAAAAAAAAAAAAAAAAAAAAAAAAAAAAAAAAAAAAAAAAAAAAAAAAAAAAAAAAAAAAAAAAAAAAAAAAAAAAAAAAAAAAAAAAAAAAAAAAAAAAAAAAAAAAAAAAAAAGAAAAAAGAAAAAGATGGGAGTAATTAGAACCTCTTCAGGTTCAACATACGCATATCAATTAAGTCAACAGCTTTTTCCAGTTCCATATTTCTAATGGTGAGATTTGGGGTTTTAAGATTTATAATATTCCTATATAGTATGTCTCTTGAGGAAGAAGTAGGGTAACGACAAGTGAGGACCTAGAAATGCAGATGACACTAAAGTAAAGCCACGGTGACTCCACTAAGTAGAAACCCCAAAGAAATGTCCTAAATCATCCTCATGTGTTGTTTTTTTTTCCATGTCTACACTACCTCTACTATTATTTATTTAATTTTTACTATAATAATACTATCATTGACCAGGCGTGGTGGCTCACGCCTGTAATCCCAGCGCTTTGGGAGGCTGAGGCAGGCAGGCAGATCAGGAGGTCAGGAGATCAAGACCATCCTGGCTGACACAGTGAAACCCCATCTCTACTAAAAATACAAAAAATTAGAGGCCGGGCACAGTGGCTTATGGCTGTAATCCCAGCACTTTAGAAGGCTGAGGCAGGTGGGTCCTGAGGTCAGGAGTTCGAGACCAGCCTGGCCGACATGGTGAAACCCTGTTTCTACTAAAGATACAAAAAAATTAGCGGGGCATGGTGGCACACCCCTGTAATCCCAGCTACTCGGGAGGCTGAGGCAGGAGAATCTCTTGAACCCGGGAGGCGGAGGTTGCAGTGAGCCGAGATCGTGCCATTGCAGTCCAGCCTGGGCAACAGGGCAAGACTGTCTCAAAAAAAAACCAAAAAAACAAAAAAAAAACCTATCATTATATATAGGATACCTCTCTCTATATAGGATACCATTATATATAATACTGTAATTGTTCATTAATAATACTTTATAGAATATATTGTTTAATATTTTTCTTTGAACTCCCTTTATTTATTTATTGTATTTTTAGTAGAGACTAAAAACACAATAGTATTTTTAGTCTCTACTGAAAATACTAATACTAATAGTATTTAGTAGGGTTTCTCCATGTTGGTCAGGCTGGTCTTGAACTCCTGACCTCAGGTAATCCACCTGCTTTGGCCTCCCAAAGTGCTGGGAATACAGGCATGAGCCACTGCGCCCACCTATTTTTTAAATAAGTATACTTTTTATTTTATTTTATTTTATTTTTTTGAGATGGAGTCTCGCTCTGTCACCCGGGTTGGAGTGCAGTGGCATGATCCGGCTTCAAGCAACTCTCCTGCCTTGGCGTACTGAGTAGCCGGGATACAGGCTTATGCCACCATGCCCAGCTAATTTTTCTATTTTTGTAGAGACGGGATCTCACCATGTTGGCCATGCTAGTCTTGAACTCCTGATCCACCTGCCTTGGCCTCCCAAAGTTCTGGGATTACAGGCATGAGCCATCGCTCCCAGCCTAATAAGTATGCTTTTAAAAGACAAATTTATATCATTACCATAAATGGAAAGCCAGTTTCATTTACCATAAATAGAAGGTAACTATAAAACATAAATATTAGAGTATAAAACATTGGTCTTTGCATTGTTAAACTGATTTCAGACACTACTAGTGATCTGTGTCCTGCACTTGGAAAATGCTGCCCTAAAGGAGGGTTCTTTAGATATCCACGGCTGGATTTCATTTTTTTTTTTTTTGAGACAGAGTTTCGCTCTTGTTACCCAGGCTGGAGTGCAATGGCGCGATCTCGGCTCACCGCAACCTCTGCCTCCTGGGTTCAGGCAATTCTCCTGCCTCAGCCTCCTGAGTAGCCGGGATTACAGGCAC